GAGAGAGAGAGAGGGAGAGAGGGAGAGGGAGAGAGAGATGTGTAACATTTCTTTTAATCTGTCTACATACATTTGACGAAAAATTTATGCATAATAATATTTCTCACCTAAAATTAAGAATTACAACACATATACAATACAATTCTAATTAGTGATAATAAAAAATATTTTATCTAATGTTATCTATAAAACTACACACTATTAATTTCATATTTGGAAAATAAAATTCAACCTTCAACACACAAATTTTTTTTGTGATGTTGCAATTATAAATACACGCAATAACTACCTATTGATACTGAAGTTACTTTATTCTATCTCCTCCATGTAAAATATTGTGTACCAGCATTTTTCTGTGCCTGATGCTTTATCTCAAAGATGATGGTCTTATGATATAAAATCTATTACTTCTAAAACTTTGTATTATTAAGTCCATAATTTGAATCTATATATACCCGCAAAGGGTGCGAGCCGGTCACCTAGTTCCAATTACAAGTTGTATTATACATCACACAATAATATTTACAAATTTCACACAAACTATTGTTTTTTTGTTTACTATACGCACCAGTAAGCAGAGGAAGAATTTGAATCTACCTTCTTTCTTTTTGTGCCTTTTTTTTTTTTTTTGGCAGAATCGCCTATGCAACGAAACTTAATCTTCTCAGCAACGTTCAGATTCAGTATGCGTCTTATAAACCTACTACTAGACTGCAATAAAATCAGTAGTCACTACCTAAACCTCATCCTCTTATATATGTATCAATCATCTTTTCCACAACCAAGGAATGTCAGAGACGGGATCTTATCGACAAGAGTTTGTACTACTAGTGAAGCCGAGGGTCTGAGCGATGGCGGGCTGTGAAGACAGAAAGCAGCCACACGTAGAATTGTCTTAACCTCTTCTATATCAAGACTACTGTCCCTAGACAACCTCGGATCCAAGAACCGTCTCACCTTTTCTTCTGCAGTATTGGCACCTAAATCACAAATCTCATGGATCAATGGAGCTGCCGTATGAACCAGCATCTCACCTTTCTCAGCGCTAACCGCTTCTTTACCAGAAACCAACTCAAGAACCACTACTCCAAACCCATACATATCCATTTTTTTCGAAGCAATCCCGGTTCTCAAGTAATGAGGATCCGTGTACCCTGGAGACCCTACCATCCTCACTTGCCTGGAACGAGGTGACGACACCGTTGTAGATGGCTGAACCATAGATGAGAAGCCGACTTTGGCTGATCCGAAGTCGCAAAGCTTACTGTTGAGGTTTTTGTCAAGGAGTATATTGGAGGATTTGATATCACCATGAACAATTTGAGGGCTACATTTCTCATGTATGTGTTCCATCGCTTGCGCAACCTGAAACGCTATGGCGGTACGGTTTCTCCATGGCAACACGTGTTTGCTGCTGCAGTTGAGCTTCTCTTGGAGGTTACCTTGAGGAAGGTACTCTAATAAAAGTGCACCAGTTTCTTCTGAAAGATCAGAGAGAAGTATACCGTTAACACAATAAAAAATGATCTACCAATATTAGATATAACTGTAACATAGAAATCATTTGGGGTAAAAAATAAAAAAGGAAAAACTATTAGGGTGAAAAAGTTGAAATAACAGAAAGAATTTTAATGAGTACAAGACAAGAATAAAGTACAACAACTTGCATTAATAAAATCTCATAGCTTTTGTTCTTTAAAGTATTTGACTTTTTATGTGTGATGTGAATCATTCAAAGGACTATTGAGAACCTGAATCGTCGAAGTAACCGAGAAGTTTGACAATGTGAGGATGTTGAAGACGAAGCAAGATTTCGAGCTCAGATCTAAACACCTGATAAAGACGATGGCTACCGACATGAACCTTGAGAGCCGCTTTTTTGGCGCCAGACAAACGAGCCAAGTAGATACTACTGTATCCACCGGAACCAATGAGTCTAGAAAAATTTGAGGTGAGAGACTCGACATCGTCCCAGGTATAACATGTTACACCGGAGACAGAAACAGATCCAGTGATCTTGGGTTTCTTGTCGGTGGTCGTGATCGACTCATCGAAACGAACGCAAGTTAAGAAACAAGACATTCTTAAAACAGAGAGAGAGGGGAAGAGAATTTTTGAAGTTTGAATGAGGAGTCTCTGGTATAAGAAGGAGCTAGTGGTGGGTTTCTGGGAAACCCAAAGGGTTTGTAACTGCCGACAAAGAAAAAACAGGAGAATCGGAGAGTGAAGATCTGATTAGGAATGTGTTTTATGTTTGGTGGATTATGATTTAAAGAAGAAAAGGAGAGAGTAAGAGTTGTTTTTTGGATTACGAAGAGCGGCAGAGTTTGACATTTGTGAGGAATGAAGGAGAAGAAGCCTTCCTCAGAAGCTTCACTGACGTTATAACCACTACGACTCACCCATTTCCTTCTCTAAATACTTTTTCTTTTTCCCATATCTTTTATAATTATAGTCATTAATACTTTATTACTGTTGTGAAATAAAAGGTTGTAACATGTATATCTTATTCATCACGTGCACATACATATATATACATACAAGAGAATAAGCATATTCCTTAGGAGATAAGGATTACAACAATAAAGGGGATGATTATCCTAATCCTATAATGATTAGGATAACTACAACATATGGATAAATACAAGGGAGGATAATGACAAGTCTTGGCC